ATTTCATTCATCAAATATATTGAGTTATGCATTAATTTATTTTTGATAGATAAGAAAAAGTATTGTCATTTCAATTTTACCATAGATAAGAAAAGTATTGTCTTTCCAAAGAAAGATGTTTAATTATTTAACCATATAAACTGAAAGTGGTATAGAAAGACAAATTGAATGGAAAATTTGTGAGAAATTAAATCTGAATATTATATGTTTTAATTTAATACTTGATGAATAAGTAATTTCAAAGTACCATAATCCTTTTCATGCTCTAAAATGGACCTGTCCTTCCTTCAATGTGGAATAAACCATTCACTAAGAAATTAAAACATTGGTCAACTCAGTCGTTACCAGAAGGCCAAGAGTTACTTTAACTTAAAAGATGATAATTTGAGTGACTACTCTTATACTTAAGAGTTAAATAAACTACTGTAATTTAATAAAGAGACACGATTTAAATGAGAAATTTTAGAGAGTGAGAGAGAGAGATAAAAAAAAACCCTCACCAACATTATATGTAACAAAATGTCAAAGTTGTCATATTTTATCTCCACACCATCAGACATTTTAAGATGTATATAACTATATTATATATATAATATACAAATGATCAAGTGTATAAAAAATAAATCAAGTTTATAAAAAATAAGTCGAAGTTTATAAAATTTAGAATATCATAAATCTCATCTGATGTACAGTCTATAATTTTGATGATGAAATATTTTGGCAGAGTTGAAACTCATTTTTCTATACCTTACAACATGTTATGATTTCAGAAGACATAGTAGTAATTAAGTGTTATGTCAGGTAATGTTTTGAATATAATAATGATATAATGTATATGTTACAATATTGAAAACAGGTGAATCAATGAAAGAAGAGTTTCAGGCTATTATTATAATAATGATCTTGTAAAACTTGGTGTTTTAAAGTTGAACTAAGTAATTGTACATATTGTTTAATGCGTTCATAATGGTGCATAATAAAATTGTTATTGTTTCAAATTGGTGAAATTTATCAAAATTACGATTTTTTTTCTAAGCAAAATAGAATGAATTTGTTCATAAATAATGTTTTAATGTGAAAATGAATTTATCCATGTTGTTGGGGGTTTTAAAGGAATGCTGACATAATTATATTCATGGGCTCCTAACCTGGTTTCTAAAATAGTTCTAGAATTAAAGGTTCATATATCTTGTAAAGCAAGTTCAAAACCCGATTGGCATCATGTTGATGAACCTTTTTGAAGCAGTCATGATTTAGAAGTTTCATTGTAGTGAAGAAGATGGCAATTATATTATATTGTAACTGTAACTGATGCAGAAATCATCAGTGGTTAAGGTCCCTGACTAATTTGCCTCTCTTTCTCTGGGTTCAAATCCCAACATAGATTTTGGATTCTTGTATGTGAGAAAGCCATCCTGCTAGCTTACATTTAAAGGTGGTGGTCACAATGTGGTTGCTGCTTTTGCATGGAATATTACAACAAAGGGACACCTAGAAAAGCCTCTTTATATTACATGGAATTGTTCCCTATAAATTTATTTGTGTTGACTTTAAACTGCCCTCTCTCTCTAAAATGAACGAACACAGAACTCCATGTTCCATACTGCAGGACTGAAAATTATAATTGATAATATGGTAAAATGATTACTCTTTTTTGTTTGAAAATTGACCAATTAAAGATGTTAAATGGCCTTTATAGCAAAATATGTCTCAAATTTTAAAATTTAAAACATTACAAGGATACTATTTTACCTTTCAGTCTGACATTCAGTCCATCTATGTTTTGATAAATGATTATTATGATTGTTCTTGATAAGAAAGGAAAAGTTTCTGGAGTAATAAACTTACCAGAAATGTTTTATTATTAATTCATTTATCTTTCATACCTGGAATTTCTTCTGTCATAAAATCTGTACTCGACTGCAGTCCAACTTCTATAAATAGATTTATGTTTTTGTAAACATTGGAAATGAAATAAACGCAATACTTTTTTATTTCGATAAGTACTCACGGAAAAGGGTACAGTTCAGGCCATGAGGCCATGATCAGATGGCAGGGATAATCTGTGCCTAAAATCAGATTCTACCAGATAGGTTAACTGGGTTAAGTGAGTTAATTGATGGCTTTACTGACATTACATGTATATTTATATCCTATGTAACAATATAATGTTGAAGGCAGAAAAAAGTTTCCTTTCAGTCATTTAAAATTTCTTTGTTTAAATTAAGCATAGCATATACATCCGATCAACCCCTGGCTAAAATTGTGGCTTAAATTAAGCGTTTAGGAATTTTATGGTAAGAAAATGAATTTATTGTTCAGTCAGCTGTCCAGACACACGTCCAATCAGAAATGCCTAATTTCCGCATCTGATTAGAGCTCGTAATCCAGATTAGCAGATTAAAAGGAAATTTGTGAAAAAGTGCACCTGTAAAAATAATTCGTCCATAGAGAATGTTTATTATTACAGTATGTGGCAGTCTGGAATAAGGAAAAGCTGATGTGGCCACTTGTAAATGATAAAAAAATATCAAATTATAGTTAAGGTATAGTTAAAAAAAAAATTAAAAATGGTGCTTAAGTTTGGTACAGGTCGGTCCATATGGATTGATACAAATATTATTATAAAAATCAATATGAAAAATTACATTATTGTATGACACGATTGATTTAAACCTGATCAACTGTTAAATATTAATTAAGCAGGGCAACATAATCTCATAATATAACATAATGGTTGAATCATGAATGTCTGATATTCACCGGGCAGATGGACATATGCCGAGGCGATGCCGGGTCAAATGACTTTTCTGCGGTGAATATCACCCATTCTTATTCAATGGCTCACTGTCATAGTTTTATTATATGAATAGGCTAAGAATTAAAAAATCACAAAAAGTACAACCTTATATACATGTACAAATTTTGCCTCGTTAAGCGCGGGAAAAAAGACGCACGTGCGAGGCGTGCAACAAACTAACGGAACGCTCGCATCGTACAAAAGTAAATATCAAGTTTATACTCATGATGCGGTTTAGCCTTTTTTAAGTATAACAGTAAAATAATGATTTTCAATCGAGAAATATTGCCATAAAGAACATAAACGCAACAATTTATTTTTTAATTAACACACGTATTAAAACAGTCTACGGGTATGGTCATTGAATATGAGTCTCAATCTATATTTAGACTTGGAAAATCCAATTCAGCCAGTTAATATGATACTACACCCAGTGAATATGATTTTATAAAAATTTCTGTTGACTACAGTTTGGACCAATTAGATCGCAGCTATTTTTAGATCATATAATAAAATCTCATAATGTTACATAATGGTTAATATGAGGTCTATATGTAAATGAGTGCATCGAGTTCATTTTTCTTTAAAAAATAACTATACATATAATAACTCTTTTACTGTTGAAAAGTCTGGATCTTTGGTAAATTATAAGAAACATGATTCATTTGTAAAACAAGTTTGTTGCTTGTGAATAAAATTACAATAAAAGTTCCAGTTGCACAGACTATCCTTGTAGCTTTAAAATCACATTCTAAAATATCTGTGATCAATTTTCTAATACACCCATTTTCGTGTCTTTCTATGCAAATTGGTTACAGTTTTGGAATTCTAGTGAATAAAATACGTTCATAGGAGTGGATAGCTTACCACTTTAAATGAATTTTGTTTCTTAGAGAAAATAGGTTTGGTTAAAAAAAGTAAGATTTTGGTTTCTGTGGTTCTTTAAAATACAGAAAAAATGGAAATTTCCCCCTAAATTTCATGGTGCTAGACATTTTGTGTTACTTTTAGACAGAAAGCTAAAATCTGTCTTAAAATTAGCCTATAACTAGTATTTTCCCATCTTTTAACAACACACATGAACAGAAAATAAGTACTGTTGTTTGTTTCAACCGAGGGATTAAAATAGCCTTAAGGTAGCAGCTGTCTTGTTTTGCTGTGTGTGATTGAATACAGCTTTAATAGCAAAGATCTGTTCTAGAAATAAACAACATGTTAGCCATTTATTCCATTGTAATTGAGATTAAATATAGCCACTGCCAGATTAATATATTCCTCTGCCCCAGACTAAAATATTTTTCCACCAGGTTTATTTAATGCAATCTGATTAAAATATTTTTACCACCAGATTTATTAGATACAACCAGATTAAAACTTACTTCAACCAGGTTTATTAAATACTGTCAGCCAGATTTAAACATTTTCACACCAAATTTATTTAATACAGCAAGATTTAAACATTTTCACACCAGATTTATTAATACAGCCAGATTAAAACATTCTTCCACCAGATTTATTAAATACAGCCAGATTTAACAAGTTTCACACAGATTGATTAAATGAAGCCAGATTAAAACATTCTTCAACAAGATGTATTAAATACAGCCAGATTAAATTATTTTTTCCACCAGATAATAAAATATAGTGCCAGTTTTTCCCACCAGATGTATAAATACTGCTATATTAGAACTTTCTTCCAGCAGTTTCATTAAATAAGTCCAGATTAAAACATTTTACACTTATCTTTATAAAAAAAACAACTGGATTGAAATGATCTTCCAACAGAATCATTAAATACAGCCTGATGAAACATTTTTTCTACCAAATTTTAATGCATCCAGATTTAATGTAAATAATTTTCACCAGATCTTTAAGACTTAATCATTTGCAAAAAAAAAAAATCTCCATTGACCTGTACTTTTATGAAATCATATCTTTTATGAAATCATAGATCTGTTTTATAAAAACATCTTGTTGTTTAGACATATTTATTATATTTTATCATTTTTGATGCCCCAAATTGCTTTGAGCAAATAGATTTGCCCTTGTTTTTCTGTTCGTCTGTTAAATTGTCCGCCCTCAGATTGACAACTCAGAAGAATGTTTTGGCATCTGTGTTCTATATATAGCCATGGACACAGTTCTAAGTTTCAGATAATGTCTGCATCATATTAGACTAAGTGTTTTTTTCTATTTTCAGATATGTATATATCCCTGTTTTACCGACTGCACTCCTCGAGGTCCTGAACACCCCCACCCCCTTCATCGCTGGTGTACACTCGATACATAAAGAAGACATTAAAGATTTGGTAAGAATTTTTGTTTCATATCAGGAAATGTGAATATTTTTAGGTGTCAACAGTTTATGTAATTTCTTAAACAAAATCAGAATATGTGTTCATTTTTATGCAATACTGCATAACAGATTACTGCAAACTGAATAAAAATTGTCATAACTTAAAATTTAAGGTTAGAGATTTTGGGCATAAATTAAAAAACTGATGAAGGTCCTTTTGCCTCCAAGTGACCAAATTCTCCATTTAATCATGAAATTCATGTGTCAGTACTTTCCATTCACATCTACCCTTGGAGGATGTAAAAGGTCATTTGAATCGAGGTCAAGGTCACCAATATATTATAAATATTCTAATTTTTCTTCATAGTGCAGCCATGTTTTATTGGCGTCATATTCATATCGGTGAGCATCCATCGGTGTTTAGTGGCTGATACTAAATTCTGATGATTGAGGAATGCATGCCAGTTTTATTGACGCATTCTTCGATATTTTAATGGCCTTTTAACTGATACATAATTACTGTTATTAAGAAGATAAGCCTGTTTGTGTGCAATTGCTAGCTATAACTGCAGATATTGTGTGGAACAATGGTCTGGCTCAATATTTCCGTCGAAACATTGAATTTTCAGTGCATGGTATTGTTTTCTATTGATTACAGATATCCACTGATTCCAAAGCTTAGCCAAACTTTATTTTATAAGTTAACTTTCGAAATTAAAATGTTGAACAGTTTTAATAATCAAACTAAGTTTGAATCATGAACTAAAACTGATTTGACTTTTAAACTGGGCTTCAGTATCGAAGAACTAAAATTTTGAAGGTAATTGAATAGGGTCAGGTCGACTAAAGAGACATGTACTTATTTGCCTCTGTGGCCGAGTAGTTAAAGTCTCCCGACTTCAAATCACTTATTACTCGACACTGCCATGAGTTTGAATCTGAGAGGAACCTTTTGCACTTGTGTAAGTTAACTAACTGGTTTTGTAAAAGATTGGTGGTTCTATTTATGTGCCAGAGCATGTCTGAAAATATGCGCAGAAGGTCTTCCTAAGTCTGCAGGCTGGGAAGTCCCCAAATGACCTTGACAGTGCTGGTGTGACCTTAAATCCCCTATAACTGGCCTGATTTCATATCAGTGGTGAAGACAAGTGTTGCAGCATTAGTCTTTAGATAAAAGTTGTCATATTTTATTGAAATCAAGCTTTATATTATATTATTTATTTACTGGCTTCAGCGTCAGATTGACATTACTTAGATTACAAGATACATTATAAATGATTATTTTATTGGCATATATTGAAATTTATGTTTGATGAAAGCAGTAATGCTAGAAATAAAACTGTATTCTTACAGCTTTACAAATGAAATGAATTTACTGTATTGTAAGAAAACTAGAAGCAAAAACTGCTGTAATGAAATGAAAATCTGTTGCAGTACATTTTATTACATTCCATGATAGAAAAACATGAAATGTTGCATCATAGACAAGGAATTTATTGATATTCGTAGGGAATTATTGTTCCTTCGACTATCTTATTCAAATATTCTTTCCGTTTCTTGTGAAACTTGACAATTTGTCATTGAGGAATTAAATGTTAGTCACTGACCAAGATCCATAACTCTGGCTTAAAATTTAACTGAATTATTCCTCTTTGTCCCATTATCAAGCACTTGATAAAAATTTCTGTTGGACAGTAGTTTTGGTTGTGACATTTAGTAATTGATATAAATAAATTATTTGTGGGGATTAGAAAAGTTTCTTATTAATAAATGGATGCCCTTTGATACGAGCGGTTTTACCCATATAGTCAATTGAATTAGGAATTACACATCCTGCTTCCATCAGGAAGGCATATAGGAGTGGTTAATTACGACATAAATCTAACAAATATGAAAATGTAGTCAATGGAAACTCAATTAGCAAATTTGTTACCTTTTGAGTTAAATGTTAAAGTTTGTACTAAGAAAATTCTAAGTCTTTACAGAAAACAGATATGTTGAAAAAATTGAACATAATTTCTATTTACAGTTGGACGTTGTCATCATAGATCTCGATGGAGGTTGTGTACATATTCCCGAGTGTGTAACGTTACCCACAATTCCAGAGCCTGTCCTGTCTCGAACGATGAAAGCACTGCACATGGTATCAATCTCTATATATTACTATTTCTTTGCCTCGATTAATAATACATGTGATTCTATGTTTTGTGTAAAAATGATATTACTTCGATCAGAATTTTTGCGTTTTTTGCAAAATTTTCTTCTTCTTTAGCAAAATTCATCAATGCCAAATCTGTTAACACATTTTATCACTAAACATTCAATATTATTTTACTGAAGGAAAAAAAAAAAATTTGGTCTTTTCTTTTCTCTCCTCAAAACTTTCAATACATTTATACTGATTGAAAAAGAAAATTAAAGAGTCTTTTCCTGAAAAAGGTAAATTAATATAGATACAATGTAGCTCCCTTCTCCGCCCCCCTCCAAGAAAGGAAATTTAATACATTTTGTTCTGGAAATTGATATAGCCTTTTCCTGAAAAAAAGAAAATTTGTCCTTTTCCCGAAAAAGAAAATTAATATAGCTTTTGCCCTTTAAAAAATTTTGCCTAGAATACAGACTGCCATTATATAACTAGCAATGCTTGTTGAAATTTTGAAAAATAAGTTGTTCCTATTTCTGCAATCTAAAATCAAGGAAGGAAATAAAAATCTAACAGTTTTATGTACTTTGTTACAACAATATTTGTATTTATTGTAAGACAAAATGAAAGTGCAAACTTGCTTTGAATTGCAAAATCTCCCTCAGCAGTCTGTCTGGTAGAGATACAGAAACTCTGAGTAAAAAACAATGACAGGAATTCAGTATATCCCAATCTTCAGGAATTCAGTATCGGCAATCTTTATCTAGATCTTAAACAAATAGTATCCCTGAAATGGTGTCTGAAATGATATGGGTTTTTTTTTTCTTGCCTTTTACTTTCTCTTGTTCTATGTTATGTCATTGTAATTAAGAAAGACATTTTATGCATGAACATCTGGTTATCCCTGAAAAATGCATTGTTAAACGAACAATGTTATATTTTCAAGATGCATTTTAAGTTTTTTGTATAAGTATTATTTTCTGTATTCTATTCTTCTTTCTTTCAAGACTTTGTGAAACATCTTTCTGTGAATATAGACATGTCATTTGCCAAAACTTTGATAGTTTTTTTTTATTTTATATAAAAACGTATATTTAAAAACTGAGAAATTTAATAGCATAATTTCCTATCAAACTTACCTCTTTATGGCTAGCAGTAGTATATTTAGGTGTGTAAGGATGAAAGCTCCAGGCTGTAAGAAAAGGTTTTTAGTCTTAATCAAGACATTCAGCCTCAATAGATAATTTTAGAAGATTCATGTGGAAAAGTTGACCATTAGTTGTAGAAAAGTGGGAAAAAAATGTACTGGGGAGTAAAGTAGCTCTGTCTTGATTCTGGGTTATGACCCAATACTAAACCTTTGTACTAGAATTGTAACATGATCCAGCTCTGTACATTAGACTGGTACATGATCCAGTACTAAAGCTCTGTACTTGTACTGTGACATGATCCAGTACTGTAGCTCTGTACATTAGACTGGTACATGATCCAGTACTAAAGCTCTGTACTTGTACTGTAACATGATCCAGTTCTAAAGCTCTGTACTTGTACTGTGACATGATCCAGTACTGAAGCTCTGTACCTGTACTTTGACATGATCCAGTACTGAAGCTCTGTACCTGTACTGGCATATGATCCAGTACTGAAACTCTTTACCTGTACTGGCATATGATCCAGTACTGAAGCTCTGTACCTGTACTGTGACATAATCCATTGCTGAAGCTCTGTACCTGTACTAGGTTATGATCCAGTACTGAGGCTCTGTACTGATACTTGGACATGATCCAGTATTGAAGCTCTGTACCAGTACTGTGACATGATCCAGTACTGAAGCTCTTACTGGGACTTGAACCATTTCTATAGCTCTTTCTGCTTGTTACATAGTAATTTATATAAAAGGAACATTATAGGGTCATTTTAAGGTGTATAGATCACACAAGGCGCTGTGTTTTTCTATTGTTATCTACTGATGTATGAGGAGTGTACAGAGATGGATGATCTTGTAGAATTTATGTTTATTGAATGCTGTACAAGTGATTAAAATATATATATGCTGATCATGAAATTTTGTGGTTTTGAAACTATGTGCTTTAATGATTGCTATATTTTATTTTGAAATTGGATTTCACAGATGAAACAGAAATGTGTATTTTGTGATTCTCTTTTATTTCTTATCTTGGGTGAAGCATTCAGAATTGAGATGAATTTGTTTCGTATCAAATAACTGACGAGATGTAATGGCTGTTAGGTTGAACTTGGAAGAATTGTATGAAATTAAACTTTGTTAACACTTACCATCCTAAATATATTAAACGGCAAAATCATTCATTCTTTTTAGGGAACATTTTTAAATATGTACTAAATAAATAGAAAACAGCTTAGAATAAATGTATGGCACAGATGTGCTGACTGATCGTGGTCTGCACTGGTTGCATGGGTAGAATCTGTTGCCACCAGCAGGTTTAGAGTTATTAAGGGCTCAAATCAAAATTATAAGCAACAAAACCTTAATCTGATCTATTTGAACATGTGTATACTCCATTCATGATGCTTAACCTTTTGTATACATATAAGGGGGAAATTCCAGCTGCTAAAAATGTTTCATAAAAAATGAAAATCAGTTTCTTACAGTCTGTTTTCTGTGTGTAAGGAAAAAAATATAATTAAACAAATTGCAAGGGCCACTGCGTTCTGCCTGCTCAGCTTAATAAGGAGAGCATAATCTTTGTAATCCAGAGGTTGTGGTGGGATCTTAAGGCATGGTGAAATTTCTCCAGGACAAATGACTTCGGACATTGAAACTAATGGTCATTTGACTCTCATTGCTGATTTAGAAAACCATACGGGATTAGTAGTTGATCAGTTGCAGAGAAATAGCTAATTACTGGTTAGTTATCCGAGAAAATTGGTTAATATCTTAAAGTTGGCATCTTGATAATATGGATGTAATATATTTTGATGCTTAATTTCAGATTCTTCATCAAGATTTGCTGGCATCTGACTATGCTTTTCCCTCCACTCCTACAAAGAAAGCTCCTTCTTTAGAACAAAAGGTAAGAAATTGAGAAAATTGTGCGCAATTTAACTTTACATTGTTTCATAGGACATTGATTTATATAAATTATGTAGTATCTATGAGGTAAAGCTTAAGAAACATGAAAAAACAAAACAGTACAAAAAATGCAAAACAGTGCAAAAGTTAGTGAGACAGTACAAAACCTGACGAAACAGTACAAAAATTGGTGGACAGTACAAAAATTTGCAACAGTACAAAAATTGTCAAAACAGTGCAAAAGTTGATGAAACAGTACAAAATTTGGCAAAACAGTACAAAGATTGGCAAAACAGTACAAAAGTTGATGAAACAATACAAAATTTGGCAAACAGTACAAAATTGGCAAAAGAAGTACTAAAATTGACAAAACGGTACAAAAATTGGCCAAAAAAGTGCAAAAATTGGTAAAACATTTCAAAAAGTAGCAAAACAGTACAAAAATTGGCAAAAAAAGTACTAAAATTGACAAAACGGTACAAAATTTGGCCAAAAAAAGTACAAAAATTGGTAAAACATTTCAAAAGTTAGCAAAACAGTACAAAAGTTGGCAAAAACAGTACAAAAGTTGGCAAAAAGTACACAAGTTGAGAAAAACAGTACAATAATTAGCAAAACAGTGCACATTAATAGGCATTGTTGTAATAAGTATCATTTTTCCCCTATAAGATTTATGCTAGTAGGAAGTTGATTTTGCTCTGGCCAAGGATTTACCAAAAATTTATTTATTTTTCTTGTATTTTATAGGACAAAGAGATTAGGGCAGTGTTTGTGCGTATGATAGCCGAAATGTTCACTGGATACAGGTCATGTCTGGCTTTAATCAGAATACACCCAGAACCCTTCATAACATTTCACAAGGTTTGATATACATACTGCTATATATACTCAATTTTAGACTCTATTTTGAAAAGCAGTTAATATTAATTAGCAAGAGGGGGATTGTACAGGTTTGAATCCAGTTTTAAGTATTCAAATTGCCTAATTTGAAAGGTAGTACTTAGCTTTGTGGTTCAGTTTGATCATGGCTTAACCTGAGGTCATGGGTTTGATCCCTGTGTAGGCCATGTTTTCTTTTGTCACACAGCTAGTACTGGTTAAATCTACGAAGCCGGCTTGACAGCAATTTATTATAAGTGAGCACTGTTTAACATTTTTGTTTTCTGGACTGTCTTTGAAAAGTCATTTTACAGTACAGACCAGCCATAACCCAACAGGTTTGGTGTAATGGGCTTGCCTATATTTTAATTTGGATCATTCCATTTTGAATTTAAGGGATTTTGTTATTAAGATGATAATATTTCGAAGCCAACAGAGCGCCAATTAAATTACCTGTGTTGACAAATCATTATCACAGTTGTGTTCAACAGGTAGATACATGATTGTATATTTTTTCATATTTACAGGCAAGTTTTCTGGGTCATAAAGGGATGGTAGAGGAAGATTTTGTGGTTAAAGTTCTTGGTGCGATGAGCTTTAATACATTTGTGGCGGAGAGAGGTCCTCCATACAGAGTCTGTGATATCTTTGATGAGGTAAACATTTAGTCTACATGCTTGTTTATATCAGCAAATGGGTGTGTTATGTTATATCTTACGTAAGTTGTTAGTCTGTTTGTTCTACACTACTGAAAATAGATACAGGGCCATCAAACTGTAAACAGAACAAAAGAATACAATAGAATTCATTTTGTAACATTAGAATAAATTTGTAACAATAGAATAAGAGGTCAATGGACAAAACAAAAGAAATGGCCCCTTACACCAAGGTCGCACCTTTGTCTGTTTTGTTTGTACATGCTAACTAATGTTTACTTAAGGTAAATGTTGGTACATTTTAAGTGTATGCAGGTATGATTTAAGTGAATTTTTGTACATTTTATGTGTATCCACCATGAATAAGGTGAATTTAGGTACATTATATGCAGGTATAATTCAGGTGAATGTTGGTATTTTAGGTGTATGCAGGTATAATTTTGGAGAATGTTGGTATTTTAGGTGTATGCAGGTATTCAGGAAGATCTGGTAGAAGAGAGAGCTGAATCAAACCTGGCTATCCAGCATATCAAAGCCCTTGCTCAACAGCTGCATAATAATGTAAGTTTATGATAAATATTTCAACTAATAAACTTTTATCACATAATTTATCCATGCCACTTTTTCAACTGTGAAAATGGTATTGTGCAACCAAACATATATTTTGGTGTGATGTCATGTGCGCTATAAAAACAAAGCGTAAAGACACACTTAATGTTAGCGCTAGTTATGCAAACAGTGTATGACACTCGTAATGTTTGCATTACACTTTAGGTGCGTCAGTGAATAAGGATTTTTTTAAACTGTACACGGTTCTTATTATAGGTATGTGGTGAAGTGAATACTGCATTAGTGTACCTTTGTTACAGATATATAGGGTTATACACTAGTTTTGTACTGTCATCAAATTTGTTTGATTTTTACTTGATGGAAAAGCAGCAGCCAAAGTAAGGGTTATTGGGAATGTTTCAGATTTACCAAAAAAGAGACATTATGCATGTTTGAATGTATACTGAAATTGTCCTGTGACACATGTACATGTATTCAGTTTTTGTTTAGAAATTTAATTTACAAAGAAAGTAATGATAGAATGATTGAACTTTTATTTTGCTCTGTCAGGAAAATCCAAATCCCCAACCGTATGTACAGAAAGTGCCAAAGCCGACAGAAGGAGCCTATGCAAGAATCCATCAACCAGTTTTCCCTACATTAGATGAGGAGAAAGTTCAAGCTCTAATCGAGGACGGAATCTCAAAGTCATCAAAGAACAAGTGAGTTAGTTATGCATATATTGTGAAAGAAATTCTAGTTTAATTTTTTTTTAGCTTGACTATTCAGAGTATGGTTTGGCTAACCTACTCACACTGATTTTGTACTCATTGTTATGTTCAAATTTTATGTGCAACTTTTTGTACAACATCATATCTCATCAATCATATAACATGATTGCTTCTTACTTCATACACTTATTTGAGATCATAATAGTGGGGTTACTTGCCAAGGCTCTTAACTCTAGCTTGGATTTTGACAGAATTATTGCTCTTTGTGAACATAGAAATTTCCTGGTTATATTTATAGATGGAACATAAATTTTCAAAACTACTGAAAGTTTCCACTTGAAACTCAATACATAGTCATTGGTTTCATACTTAGAGGTCACTTTCCAGTGCAAATAAATCTGACGTGGATTTAGACTGAATCATGGCCCTGGGATGTCAAAAAAGGCTTGATCCCATAATCCATGAAATGAGAGGAATACACCTTAACCACTTTCTTAACAGTTATGTGGGGTTACTTTACTTTTAAGCCTTAACGAAAGAATTCCTCAAGTTTGCTTTCATTTTATATTATTAGATTATTTAGATAACATATACATATTATACTTTTACTTCAGATTAACCACAGTGCGGACTCAGAAGCGTATTGTGCCTATGGGACCGGCAATCTCAACTATAGGTGATAGACAGAAAATTGTAAATAATAATGCAAGACGACTTGAAGTTCTTAGAAACTGTGTTAACTTTATATTTGATAACAAGATCTCAGATGCAAGAATTGTAAGTCAATAAAATTGTTGTTTTAATGGGTTAGATAGTACTTATTTCAGGTATTTTTGTTTGTGTAACTAGCATTTTTAAATTATTTCAGATACAAAATGAATGAATTAACCATTTCAGATATTTTCTAGTTTGTTATGAGCATTTTTAAGATATTTATGAGTTATTTGAGATATATTTTCATTATTTCAGGTATTTTCTTGTGTGTTATTGGCCACTATAAATTATTTCATTAATTCGGATATTTTTTACTGTGTTTTAAGCCTTATCTAATCATTTTGAATATTTGTTAATTATTTTTGTCTTACAAGCATTTATAAACGATTTCAGATATTTAGAAACAATTTCTTTTTGTCTTCTTTTGTGTATGAGCATTTCTAAATTATTTCAAATATTGATGAATTATTTCAGATATTTCCTGCTGTGTTACGAGCATTAAAGAGTAAAGTAGCTCGTATAGCATTAACCCAGGAGCTGAGTCATCATATACAGAGTAATAGAGCGATGTTAGAGCATCAACAGTTTGATCTCGTTGTTAGACTACTTAATTGTGCATTACAGGTATAATTTGACACACATTACAATTAGTACCTCCCCTGGCCGCCATTCTGAGGGTTATTCCCAGTGTGTTGTATGCCTAAGATAAGATAAAAAAAATCTCTCATAATAGTATCATCTTCATGAAAACTGATAAAAACTTTTTACATATTTGTGATATAATGGTATTTTCTTTCATATGTCTTTCTGTAACAACTGAAATCTTTGTCACCTAAAATGTGTTGATCCGAAGAAGTTGTATGAAAATTAGTGCAATTACTGGATTGGAAATGAAGTTGAAAAGATGTGTGGAAAAGTAAAATCTGTGTTTAAAGTTTAAGTAGTTTACTGAATTTGTATAATTTACTTGTTTTATGTGATTTTCAAATGCAAATTATTAAATGTAAGTAATTTGCATTTTCAAAGAGGAATTTAAGAGTAACATTAAATTGCAAAAGGTTTAAAATGAAACTAAAAGATCATAATAGAGCATGTAGTAAGATTTATGGGTTACAATTCACACAAGTTTTATGACATTTGAATACAAAATATAATTTTATTTTTGTTTTTGCTATATATCAAAATGTTTTCTACTTTCAGAATGATTCATCGATGGATGAAAATGGTGTAGCAGCCTCTATCCTCCCATTGGCTACCTCATTTTGTAGGGTAATAAAATTCCTTCCTATCATATTGTGTACTTTTCTCCATTCTCGCTAGTGACTTTGGATACTTTCATGTGAGGAAGCTAACATCTGGGGTTCTTCTCAGGTGCCTGCAATTCTGCTTGTGCCTGAAGGGGCACCTGAGGTCTTCCTCCACCAATAAAGCTGGAAAGTTGCCATTTTGACTTTAAAGTGCTGATGGGACTTAAAAACCAATAACAAACTTTCTTCCTAACTAATTTATGTTGAGACGTTATCAAATATTAGTTGAGATATGTAAATACTGGTACAGAATTCAGTTAGTGTTACAGATTCAATACCTACAGATTAGGTATATGTACATTTTGAATATGACACAGATACAACATCAAATTACATTGCGATAAAAACTCAATATGATGTTATAAAAGAAGATCCTATATCAATTGTTATTGAGAACAACAAAATAAATCTTCAAAGCATTAACACTAAGAAGATTCATAAAATGTGTGAATGTTGTGATGTATATGTTAAGAAGAATATGTAAATTAAAATTTTTTTTTCTGTTATTCAGAAATTATGTACGGGAGTGATACAGTTTGCCTACACGCTAGTACAAGACCATGCTGTATGGGGAAACATTCAGTTCTGGGAGGCGGCCTTCTACCAGGATGTACAGAAAGACATACGGCAGTTGTACGCCCCTCAATACGAGGAGCACATTATGGTACGGTGGAGAAAAGAGGGTTCCAAACAAAGACATGTGAGCAAATTACACGTGCTGCAATGGCTGGAATAGTTCTCACTTGTGTACCAACCACAGTTTCTTGCACCTTTTTTCCTCGTTTGAGCTTAGAAATGAATTAGTTCTGTCACGCTTTAGAATAGTAGTTCCTTATGCTTTTATTTAGAACATATATGCTTAGTTCTTTTTTGCACTGTAGAGCTTAGATTTATTTGTTTGATATAGACCAGCTTAGTACTGCATTTTGCATAGATATTATTCTTGAACCCAAAGCCTGCTGTATTTATATTAATGGATTTGCAAGACTTTTACTGCTTGAAGGTCTATCTGATTTGCTGGAAAAAAAAAGCATTGGGGACATTGGTCTGATGCTTTGGCGAGGGGAAATTTCAATGTGAAAATTGATCCCAGTGTTCTTAAAGCTGTTTCTGCTTGTCTCTTACTGCTGATTCAGAAATTGTGTGATTAGTAGTCTCTTACTTTTGGAAAAATTGGTAATTACTGTCAAGTTATGCAGGAAAGATGGTTAGGTGGACTGATGGCCAAAAATGTGACAATCCTGCCTCAATTTTTGAACTCTGCATTCCAAGATTTTATTTTTTTCGGATTTCAATATCAAAATGATACACTTGGAAATTTATATCTCATTTGGATCTCATTGCAGAGCTAGTTTTACCTTTTATTCAATGCATACTTTTAGTTAAATAGTTCCCGCTTAATTCACTGTGAAACATTCTCATCATCCTTTAGTTATATATCTTAAATTAGCTAGAAATTTATCTTTTATTTTACACATTTTCTTTTTGACATATACTTGATATATTTATTTTATTTAGCTAGAATGTTTATTTTAATTATATATATTTTCATATACTTTATATATTAATTTAGCTAGAATTTTAACTTTACTTTATATTTTTTTCTTTATTACATATACTTTTTATATATTTGATTTAGCTTTAATTTTTAACTTTTATTTCATATATTTTCTTTACAATTTATATTTTATACATTAATTTAGCTAGAATTCTAACTTTTTTTTGTATATTTTATTTACAAAATATTTTTCATATATTAATTCAACTAAAATTTTATGTTTAAGTTTATATATTTTCGTTAATATATACTAAATATCTTTATTAAGCTGGAACTTAATCATTTGTTTTATACATTTTTTTATGAATTATATTTTATATATTAATTTAGCAATATTGATTAAAACTTTCAATATTAAAATTGAAATTTAAATATGAATTTTTACAGAAACAAAATGTTGATATTGAATAGATCAAATATTGAATATACTATCATATGTGAATTATCATAGTTTCAGAGCAAGGTTCCAGCTGCCTTTGAATTACCATACCTTTAATTCAAAGTTTCGATTACCTATAAGTTATCATAACTTTAATTTTATGAAGTGACCTATGAGTTATAACTTAAATTTTAAGGTTTCATTACCTATGAATGTATCATGAACATAAGCTTTTTACCAATATCATGTCTGAGGTATCACTCACTTAAGAATTATCATGGCTTGAATTCAAGGTTTATTGTCCCTTGGATTTATTTTGGTGTTAGAATTGAAAATGCTAGTTGATAATGATTTGTTGTGGTGTCATACCTTCAGTTTGCTTTGGTGTCAAGTGTGTATCCCCCATGTGAAGTTTGCTTTTATTATTGTGGCAGGACCGAAGTTTGCCGACTCGCTTACATTTTTTTTTTTGTGATGACAGCAGCGTGAAATTTGTGCACATTGTCTTTGTGTATGGAACGTCTTATTATTTACCAGACTTACTTTAATCAACAATCCAGACCTTAACATAAATAATGATTTATGTATTAATAAAATACCACAAATTGTTTTGTCTGTGCAATTTGTACATTGTTTGGCTGAACTATCAAGTTTTTATCTGCTTTTTTTCTCCCTTTTGATTTTTTTCTTCAAACTTTCATGACATTTTTTTTTTTGCAAAAGAAATTGATTTTTTATGTAACCAAAAAATCTTTATATTTTGTGTGAGTCTCAATGGATCTTATAGACATTGGCTGCATGGCTGAGTGTTTAACAGATCAGACATGTATTCTAAGGATTGCTGACTGTGTGTGCTAAAACCTCGCCAGGGTCAAGCCATTGTTTCCTTGAGCAAGAAACTTTAAGCTCATTGCTTTGTACTGGTTGGTTCCAGGAACAGGTTTGAGGGTGTGTCTATAAGCTTATAGCATCCTACACAATCAATCTGTAAAACATTCTGATTAAAGTAAAGACATTGTCTTTTAATGCCTGTTTTTAAAAAAGATTTGAGAAAATTTCAGATATTTTTAGATTTAAGAAATTTGAGATAGTTTTAGATTTGGGAAATTTGGTTCCCATGAAGAATGAAGTTTTACAGCCTCAGAGAAACTGTTTTTTACCAGTGACTTTAGCTACAGAAAGATATAATAGTATCATGCTTATTCAATGTCTCAATCTTGCCAGCAACGACTTCAGCGCAACAACCAGTTTTTGAGTGACGGTAAAATTGTATGATACCTGATTACTTGAGAGGGTGATAAAGTTTGTACAAACTAAGCTTTAGGTATTGCCTTAAAACCAATTAAACAATAAAAGTAAATGTCCCTGTTGTTGTTTGAACATATTATAAGACTGTTTTCAGAGTATGGAATTGAATGCAAGTCAGAACTTAACACCGGAATTAAAACGGCGGTCAGCGTCACCTTTCAAACAAAAAGAGATAGGAGCCCTGGAGATTGCTGCTGAACAAGTAAGAGATTTAAAAAGTTGTCTGGTTTGAATTATGTTTTAATTTCTTGTTGAAAAGAAAATCAATGTTGTTGAGAAAAAAAAGAGTAAGAAATTTTGAATATTTTGTCCTTAATTACATATAAATTCTTACAGAACTTGAGATCTAGTTTTATATTTGCTTTAATAGCTTTTAATATCTGTTATTTTCTTCCTTTTCATATTTTCTTACTAAATTTAAAGTAAAACCATTTGAAAAAAAAATTAACATGAAAATATATCTTGGTGATCTACAAATAAATTGACTAAATGTGAACATTTTCTTGGACATAATTTTATATGACAAGTGCCAGATTCTTTGTCAGACAAAAAATTGACCTTTTGTTTAGGACATACAAAAAACAAAAGAAATTGAAATAATACTTTAACCAATACTAAAAAGAGGTGGTGTTTGTTTATTAAGGAAAATTGAAGGGTGGGTTTTTGTTTTACTAGGAAAATTTTAGGTGGGTTTATTGTCGGCCTAGGAAAAATACATTTTGGGTTTTTATCCACTTACAACAATTTACAGGATGGGATTTTGTCTTGTGGGGTTTTGTCCTACACTTTCACCTAGTGCCAGTTAATGTGATATGGTAAATTTGAATTTCATGTTGCTGGTCTTTAAATGAGTAAACTATAGCAACATTATGTTATATTATCAGTTACGCATATGGAGTACGTTAAGTGAAGGTCAGCAACAAGAGATGATAAACAATGAGGAATCTACGGTGTACAGTCAGGCCATACATTACGCTAACCGTATCGTGTATATGAGGGTACCACTTGACTGTAGCAAGTAGTTTAAGAACACGGGAGGCTACGATGATGAGAATAAAAGCAATAGTAACATTACTGCAAGGTTAGATACTTGTTTTATACTTGTATTATTTATTAAAATCTGGTAAAGGGGAAATGTCTCTTAAGCAATGGGTATAAAATTTCATGAAAATTGCAGACTCGGTTTGATTGAATCTGTTCATGATGGAGAATGGGAGAGGTGTAACATCCCTCATGCCCACTAACACTGGTATAAGTGGTTCAATCTTTATATCTTAATATGCTAGAATCAATGATCCCAAAAGAACCAGAAAGATATAACGAGTTGAGTTTCAAGTTATACAGACTCTGTTGAAGGTCATATGGCAACTTTCAATTTTTCTGGTAAAAGATGTCTAGTGCCCCTTTGTGTATTATTTAAGGCACAAATGGGACTTTCAAGCAAACCTGGTGTAAGCTTATTTGATAGTTTTTATGGTAGGAATGAATCTGAAGTACAAAGAAAATTTCGTCTACATCCTGATCCATTGGGCCATGAAGGCCAGTATTTTAAATTTTTTCTTTCAGTTTTCACTAAAACAACATCATAATTACTGATACTAGTTATATTGAGGCTACGCTACATGTATTTATCCGTTTCATTGTATCTGTTACAGTTTGGCGGAGAGTGACAGTGTAGATGCAGAGAGTGGGTTTGACGAGACGGAAGAGACGGGCAACGTAACGGCCGAGGTAATACGATTTGTGACCCGGTTTGTGGACAAGGTGTGTCACGACAGTGGGGTCACTGATGACCATGTGAAAGCCTTACATCAGATGATTCCTGGTATGTTTTGATTTTTTGAAGGGGTGGGACTGGGAGGGGTGACAGGGTTTATGAGTTGTGTGTTATTTTGAAATTGCAAGTGTTTTTGTTTAAATTTTCTTTTACATCTTCCAGGCTCTTATTCCATAGTAAGAGTAAAGATTTGTTTAATAGTTTACTAAATTACATAATTAAAGTGATACACTTTACATACATAATTACGTATTGTTGGTATGTCTTACAAAAATTTTGGTGATATTTTGAAATATTTTGAATGTTATTTGGGTTTTTTTATCTCATACTTTTATCTACTCATATAGAAGACAGCATGTCAGTTGTTATATTACTTTAAAGGAACTCCACTGAGGTCAGAAAATACTTGAAAACAAAAAAAAAATTATTTTCTTTCATAGATCAAGTGTTTCTCTTAAATGGAAAAAATCTGCATGAAGAAATATACTCTGAGTAAAATTGAGAATTGAATTTTTGCGCGATTTTTAGCCAGGTTTGGTCTTTTTGCACAATAAAATGATTATTCGGGGTAATTGGAATGAGAGAATGATCTGAAATTTGGCACACAAGTTATTAGGCCAGACCTACATCAAATGTTCCTCAAGTGTAGAAAAAATATTTCCTGTCTCTTCATGTCAGAAAATCTCAGTGAAGTCCCTTTAACTTTATCAATAATTTTAAAAATGAATTATATCAATACTGAATTGTTATTTTTCAGGACGTCGTGGTCAGTGTTTGTTTCTTTTATCATTAATTTTCTCATGCATTGTTTGCCCTCATCTAGCATGATATTGGCTCTTTTGACTGATAAATCTGAAAAAATAAATACACAATGTTTGATTTAATGTAAAATGAATTGTTTCCCTTTATCTTAAACGTTTCTATGAGCTTTCTTTGAAAGGAATTGGCTTCGAAAACTTCATTTGGTTAGTTTGAACTTAGTTTTATATTTCGGAATAATTTTGTAGTATCATTTAACATCAAATATTGATATGGCTTCTAGGGTATGTGAAAACTTAATGATTTGGTATTTTCTGATATAAGTTCCATGAAAAAAACACAACAGATAAATGTATTACAAATGTACTTTATTTGACATGTATAGACCATAAAACTTCTCCACTTTTACTATAGTATGCCATTGAACACATGTTACAGTTATTGGTATATATTAGTATATCAAATAAAATATCATTTATAAATCATATAACTAATTATCATAATATACATACATTTATAAGATATTTAATTCATAATTTATCTATCTTCCTGTCCTCTGCATTTGTTCATCTATTCTGTTTTTTAGGCAGTAGAAACTTGTTAGCAATTACTTTAAGTAATTTTCATTCTTTCTTGCTCCTAATGATACCCTTTGAAGCCTTTGTGTCATGGCCAAATTGTGAATGTTGCTGTTTTTAAACTTTTTGGGCCCCCCACGGGGTTTCAAATTTCCCAAAAAGGAAATTTTGTTTCCCTTTTTTTGCAAGGGAAAAACTATCTAGAAAAGCTTACAAAAAAGTTTTAGGGGGGTTCTTTTTCCTCTTTGTTTTCACTGGTGTCTAAATTTAAATGCATTTTAAAAAATTTTCCCTTTCCAAACCAAAAAAGGGAAAAGGGACTTTCCCATTTTTTGTTATATTTAAAATTTGTGATAAATGAATTCCCTCCGGGGAAAAATCAGTTTTTACTCACCACGGGGTTTACAGAATTTTGATGTTTCTTCTCCCCCCTTCCATCATTTAATAAGGTTCAGGAAGGCAAAGGGAATTTCATATTTTAAAAATTTTTATCGAAAAAAAAATAAAAAAAGACCATGCCTGTTTTACTTACCCGCATTTAATTTTTAAAGGGCCCCCATAAAATGATTTTTGTTTTACCACGAATTTTTTTTTCAAAAAATTTTAAATCTGTTTTTTTGATAAAAATTAATTTGGAAAACCCTCTAAAATTTAACTTTTTATTTTTTCCTTTAAACCCCAATGCGTTTCTTTTAAAAATTTATTATGGTTTGGGGAAAAACAGGGGTCCAGTTGTATGAAAACACATGGGGGTTCCCAGGATATTAGGACTTTCCCATATTTTTTTTACCCAAGGGAATTTTTACCTATTTTGCTACTTTTTCTTCAGGGAGAAGGGCCTTTTTTAATTCCATGACACTTAAGTTTGGGTTTGCCAAAGGGGAAAAAAACCCCAAGAAGCCCATTTAGATGGATTTTTTGTAGTGTAATGCCCGGGGATAAATGCTCTTAAAAGTCGCTGGAGAATGCCATTGGCAAAAAAATTTTTGAGATTTTAAAAATTTTCATTTTTGTTACTTTAAAATTTTACATTTTTTAAGATTTTTTTTTGTAAAGGTGGGGTAGCTAGCATTTTAGAATTTTTAGAAGCTGTCCACAGAAGTCCAAGAGTTTTACCACCAAATTACAAAAGGAAATAATTACAGATTTTTGAATTTGATATAAATTTTTCCCCTTTATTTTTTCTTGGGTTTTACTTTAAAAAAAAAAATTTTTGTTTAAATTCTATATTTACCCTTTTGTTTCTTTCCCTCTTTTTTCTTTGAATTCTCAAAAAAAATATCAATTTTTTTCTACTGGGGCAAAAAAAAAATCTTTTTTTTAACCCAAATTTAGAAAAAATATTTTGGTACCCCAAACTATATATAAAGGTTTTCTGTGGGCCTTTTTCTTTAACTTGTTGACATCTGACTTAACAAGATAAAGCTCAGATTAACATACTGATATCCTGGAATTTTGAAAATATATTTAATGTTAGCTAAGATAATAGGAGATTCTTAAAAAATTGGCATATTAACTAGAAAAAAACAAACAAGTAAAATTTGAATTGAAACAAATCCAAAAAAATTTGGGCCCATTATTTAAATATTTCGAAAAATGAAACACAAACCCCAATATCAAATTACTAATATTTCTTTTAATAAGTTTAACGTGAAAAGAAACTTAATCACATTATACACAGATGAAAAACGTTTGAATTATACGAAAAACTATTGGTTGGGGATAATTTGGCCGCTCGAGACAAGACAGATTTGACCAATGTCGAGTCTTGTTGAGAAAAAATTCCGAACCGACCGAAGGGAGGCCCAGTATTTTCTACAAACTGTACACAACTTACACACTCCCAAAAAACTGTACGCCAACTGCACCAAAAAAAAAAATTTTGCGTAATTGACTTCATTTTTTTAACATTTCTATTGTTTTTGTACTTCTAATATTTAACGGCAAACCTAACCATGTATATTACCACTGGTTAAACATACTACCGCAAGCAGCGGTACCAATTTACGCGAACCAATAAAACCACTTCACCAATGATTAGACCAGGAGAGAATGGTTCCACAATCCGAGTTAATGTTAATAAATCAGCTAACAGGCAAAGGCTGTACAATGGCAAAGGCAAGGCAATGGCAAGGCAATTTCAAGCGAGGCTAGTTAGGAATTGCCGATACTAAGGGCAAAACCTTTAACGAGTCAACAACAAATTACTGTTAGAGGACCGGGTATAATAATTAGGAAAGTACCCCCGTGTGAGCAATTTAAAATTTAAAACCTACAAGGTAAAGGGTTTCCCTTATTTTTAGGCATTAAACCCCCCCCAAAAAAAAAAGTGCCCCCTAACCAGCAAAAAATATTCGAAAAACAGAATTGGGGGAATACTTTTAAAAATTGGGCGGCCTGCCAAACCCTCAATCAAACAAAAATTTTTTCCCGGGTTTTTATGTAAACCACAAAGAATAAATTGAGCCCAAGGGCCAATTTATTGGCCAAACAGTGTTTTAAATCATCAACAATTACAATCGCTTTTACTATATGCGCCCAAAGGAAAATTAATTTTAGAATTTTATTTCATTTTTAAAATGTAACAATGTTCTTTCAAAACCCTCTGCCATAAAAAATTTAAAGCAAAAATTATAGCAAAACAGTTTATACCACAAACCCGCGCTACAAGCCCTTTGGCATTTTCCGAATTTTTATTTTAAACACATTTTCGGGCACTGTTTTATTTTTAACCAATATTTAACACATTATTTTTATAACTAACCCTTCACACGTCAATAAACATCCTTGTGTGTATTTTGCGGCTCCATAGTTCTAGATTAGTGGCATATTTCTCCCATAATTTTTCCTTGGGAAGTCCACAAAAAACAATTTTTCTATTAACAACAGCCTGCAAAGATAAAAGTCACCAGGCAGTATTCTACATCCAATAAACAATGAACAAACACACGCTTATAACAAGTTGACCAAAATATGTTTAAACCTTGCGTTCCCCCCCCAAAAAACCTTTTAATAAAATGATATGATAACTCAATAAAATGACAGTTATTTATTAATTAGAGCAAACATGGGTGTGGGGGGGGGGGGTAAATGTTTTAATCTAGTCAATCTGTACTTCAGACGTGTAAAGGTGATTTTCTTGCACGGGTTTTTGCCTTATATATGCCATCCGGGTAAACGTTATGCTTCGAGGTAAGAAAAACTATCGAGCGTAACCAGGTAGATTGTGTATCAACAAAATATAGTCAGACGATTTATAAAGCTGACGGGCTTAGCAGCCGATAATATTTACAGCAGGACGATGTTTTTCTTAAAATAAATATAAATGTGAAAATTTATTTTAATCATTAAAAAATAATTTTATTATTTAAATATTCAAAATTGAAAACACAAACCCAATATCAAAAAATTACTAATATTTTTTTTAAAAAGTTTTACGTGAAAAGAAACTTAATCACATTGATACACAGATGAAAAACTTTGAATTATACGAAAAACTATGGTTGGATAATTTGGCCGCTCGAGACAAGACAGATTTGACCATGTCGAGTCTTGTGAGAAAAAAATTCCGACGACCGAAGGGAGGCAGTATTTTCTACAAACTGTACACAACTGTACACAACTCGACAAAACTGTACGCAACTTGTACACAAATAAAATTGCGTAATTGACTTCATTTTTAACATTTCTATTGTTTTTGTACTTCTAATATTAACGGCAACCTACATGTATATACCACTGGTAACATACTACCGCAAGCATCGTACCATTAACGACGAACAATAAAACCACTCACCAATGATTAGACCAAGAGATGAATGGTTCCACAATCCGAGTTAATGTTAAACAGCAACAGCAAAGGCTGTACAATGCAAGGCAAGGCAATGCAAGGCAATAAAGCGAGGCTAGTTAGGAATTGCCGGTACTAAGGGCAAAACCTATTAACGAGTCAAACACAATTACTGTAGACCGTATAATAATTAGAAAGTACCGTGTGAGCATTTTAAAATTTAACCTACAAGGTCAAGGTTCTATCTTTAGGCGATTAGACCAGCCCAAAAACAAGGTGACCCTAACCAGCTAAAAATAATTCGAAAAACATGAATTGCGAATACAATTAAAATTGCGAGGCCTGCCTACCCCTTCAATCGACAGAAAATTTTTTCCGCCACATAAAATTCAACGAATTTAAATCACCCAAAAATTCCATTAATAGATTTTTTTTAGCATAGAATCCTCTTAAATAGTCAAGATAGAACTCTAGACCAACTAAATTTAAATGGACCACCGTCCTCAACGATAAAACGCCGTTTCAAAGTCAATATCTGTTTGACAAATATCAAATTTACTTAAAGGAACTAAACTATGTGTCGACCTAAACGATTTACTCTTTTACGTTTAAGATTCATAGACTTGCTTAATCAAATTTCCCCCCCACACTTCTTCTGGGTAAAATATCAATCCAAATAATGTCAAGCGGACGGAAATGCGTCGTGAAGGTAAGCATACTTCATCCTGTATTGTCCCCTTTAATATCATAGGCCATGAGGAGTGAACTAAATCATTACCCCCTAAATGAATAAGTATAACGATGGAGCAGGTGATAGGAGAAACCTTAGCTTCAATTTCCCCGTCGAAGTGTGGACCATCGCAGACCTCGAACCCCTAGCCCATGGCAATTGTTTGTCCTGGTAGTCTCAAATTTTTCTTTCCCAGTTTGTATTGGCATGATTGCCTTGCCCAGTACGGGATCGAGTCCCGATGAACCCGGAATGTCTAAATATAGAATAAACATGTCTTGAAAATCAAAATAAAAAACTGCCCGAAAATAGCTTATGAAAAAGTTATTTTTTTTTATCAAATGATATATAATAATATATTTTTATCCTAATGTACACATTTTGTACAATCGCTATTCCATTCTACCGGCTTTCATTATAGCTTTTGCAGAACGCCCATAATGGCGAGATCAGTAGGCTCTGCCAATTCTAAAACTATGAGTTTTGTAACAACATCCAAATGACAAGCGGGCTCTTAAAAACGCATTTCGACAAAACTGCTGAAAATTGAGTTTCTCGTTACTGGTGAACTATCGTTATGAATGAATAGAGGGCCCTGGTTTTAGGTCGCATAGAAAGGGCGCAAATTAGATAAGGCAACCTTTACTGGAAACATAAATTGTCCATTTCTTTAGGCAATTTTAGATCTATTACCCGGAACACCGGTTTTATTATTTTTTGAATGACGGAGACAAATAAGCACCTTGCTATTATCTATAATTGATATGTCCGAATTCCATAGTACGTTCCCGACTTTCCAGTACTTTTGGAACGACCAGCTCACTTATGCGAAATAAAACCCAAATATATGCGAATATAAATAATGTGGTAAATAATCTAGTCTCGTAAGCATTGTAGCAACATAATGGTAAACATGTCACATAAAATTTCAAACCTGTTTTTGTTATCGGAGCCCGATTATGCATGTGATTTACGAGATTTTTTTTGCAACCTTCAAGCAGTTTGCTAACCATGAATATTTTTGATATATCGTAAAAACCAGAAAGTTTATGAAAATAATTCAAGCCGGCAACATATGTGGTTAATAGTTTTTGAAGCCATGCCCTCTCAAAACAATACGAAATAAAAAAGACAATATTCTGAATGAAATTGGCCATTGTAATGAACAGATTATATTCGGATAGAAATATCCGAAAAGCGTTCAACGCTGCTATCCGTATGTTGATCTAGTTTTTGGCCAAATTTCCCCCTTTTTAACAATGTTCGAGCCCCTAAATGGGAAACGCTCCAGGGGAATTCGGGGACTGGGTGAGGTTTGATCTCCCTTCCCGGGCAAATTCCTCTAAATTTTTTTTTAAAACTAAAAACGGGGACAATGCATCAAAAAATTACTTTTATTAACGACCGGGACATGAACTTTTTTCAAAAAAATTTTAAATTTTTTCTTTCCAATGCAATACAAGAAAGTCTTACAAGACACATTACTGTTTCGGGCCCTAGACAAACCCTTTAAATTTCAAAAGTTTTACCACGGGGCCAAATTGTTATGGGATTTAAAATCTTTTTTTTTTATTTTAAATTTTAAAAACCCAAAAAAATAAAAAATTGCCACAACAATTTGGAAAACCCCAAAAACAGTTGATATGGGGCCGTAAAAACCGGGCCTGAGTGCCCAACGTTTCTGGCCATTTCCCCTTGGCACCAATGACCTTTGAAACACGTAAATTTCCGAAAACCACAAATTGACACCACCCGCGCTGTCCGAAAAAATAATTCCCTACATCTTCGTTTGAAAACCCAAAATTTTGTCAGAAAACCACAGACACGCCATTATATTTTCTTTAAAATATAAGCCATATTTCAAGTCCCGTCGAACCTCTTTCTTTAATCGTCGCCGGTGTGATATCGACTTTGTAGCCCACAAATTAATTAATTAAAAACTCTAAATTAAAAAGGCGGACCAATAACAAAAGCTCTACAACAAAAAATGGAGTTTGAACCAATTAAAGATTTGTAAATTTTTTAAGAGTTGATTTCGAGTGTGATTGAACACCCTCAAAATTTTTTTTTGATCTTCCTCTATTTTTTCTGACGAATTCTGATTGTCATTTGGTTTGTGTCAACGCTCTAAACCTAAAAAGACTAAAACCTCAGTCGGGCCTTCAGTTTTTTCCGATGCTAAAGGCACACCAAGGCTCTGTCATTGTGTTTTGAAAGATATTTAATGCCTGATTGCAATGATTCTGACGTCCTGTCACCCCTCCAAGAAAATCATCTAAATAATGTATCAATTTAGCTGACGTAAATTTCGATTTAACACTAATGATTCTAAAAATCTTGAAAATCGTTCAAAAGTAATACAGCCTCACTGAAGCACCGAAAGGGAGCGCCTTGTCAAAATATTTATTTATTATCAAAAAACAAAAACCAAAGTAGCTCAAAATCATTCGGGGAATTGGTATTAAACGGTATGCCGCTCTTGATATCTGATTTAAACAAAAAATTTTTACCTAATTTTTTGAATCTTTTTAAACGCTTCATAAAAAAACTTTTGTATTTACTAAAACAAAAACCCTTGAAAAATGAAGCCCTTTAAACAGTTTTAACCGGGGGGATTTATAAATGATGATCATCCTGAATTCCCGGTTTTTTTTCCTTTGGTACTAAACCGATCGGCGACAAAATTAATTTGGGAAAGGGGGCTTTCTTTCAAAAGGGGCCGGGAAACCCTTTTTCCCCTGCCTTTCTCTTTTTTTCTATTTGCTTTTTAATTTAAATTTTAAAACCCTTAAAAGAGATACCAAAAATTTTTTTTGACTCCCCGTGAAAACACGGGGCCCTGTTTTTAAATTTGGGAAAGGGCCTTTGAAAAAAAACCGTTTAATAAAATTTTTGCTTTTTTCTCATTAAACCCCTTTTAAATTTAGAAATTTAAAAGCCTCAACTTTACGGGAAGTTTTTGCCAAAGCGAATGTTTAACATTAGTGCCCAGAAAATGAAATGCCCGGGATTTTTATTATTAACCTTTTGTAATAGCCCCGTCCCCCTTTTACCCCGTTGTTCGAAAATGCCCTGTCCGAGATTTTTGAAATGACAAACTAGTTTGACCCTCTTTAAAAGCTTTGTTTTTTTTGAAAAAATTTTTTTAAATTTGGGAAAATTGATTTGCGGGTGGGGCAAAACCGGGCCAAAAACAGGAAAAAAAAGGAAATTGGGCCAAAAAAACCTTTTTTCCCGCATTAAAGCATTACACGTAAACCTAAAAGGGAATTAATTGGTCACTTTAAAACGGCCCTGATTTGGGTAAAACAGCGCCCCCATAATTTCTTTGGGTTTTTTTTCCCCAAATGATTGAGGAGAAATTTTTAAGCCTGTCTTAGATGAAATTGCTCGTCGTAAGTCCTCCATGAAAGACCACCCTGGCGCGAGGCACAATCTCTGATATTAAAACATATAATGCAAAATTTCATAGATTTTGTTCAGCGTGTGATGATAAATAAAATGGACGCATATATAATAAATGCGTTTTGTCCATTTCTCAATGCAATTGATCTGCTCTTTACATTCTTTTTGAGCGGATTTCTATGTGACCTTCACTATCTAACTTAAACACCGTCCCTTTACAAAATTCTGAAGCTCGACTGCCCCTTTCAATAATAACATCAAATTTACATATTCACCTCTACAAATTTTTTGTTTAAGAGATGTTGGTCACGTGCGCCGCCAAAATCATCATCGGCTAAACGTATTCCAGGCAAAAACATTTAAAATATCGTTGGAATGATTCGCAGTAGAACTATCTAAACCCCACAGATTGTAACATATTGCCACACCCCGTAGAAACATTATTTGCAGCAGAACCAACGTTATCGGTCAAATTTTGTGGAATAATATTCGAAGCCCTTATTATCTGCTCAAAATCTACTACGTTTGACTCACCAGCGTTCGTTTTGCGACACCCTCTCGTCAACAAAATCTTTCAACGGGACCTCTTGCCGTTCGTTTCCTCCCTCTGTTTGAAGGTTGTTGGCTCGGGCTGCCCTGGCGGTGTTGTTCCGCCGACAGTCTTTGTGGACGTACGCATCCGCGGCCACGTGGCATAATTTGGCAATGTAGATAGCAGAATAAATGTTTTAATCTAGTCAATCTGTACTGCAGACGTGTAAAGAGTGAGTTTTGTCTGCACGGGTTTTGCCTTATATATTGCCATACCGGGTACACGTTATGCTCGAGTAAGAAAAAAACTATCGAGCGTAACCAGGTAGATTGTGTATCAACAAAATATAGCAGACGATTTATAAAGCTGACGGAGCAGTATAGCAGACGACTAATATTTACAGCAGACGATGTTTTCTAAATAAAATAAATGAAATTATTTTAATATTAAAATAATTTGTATTATTCTTCAGTCTTTAATGGTTATAAAAGTTAATTTTTAGTGAAAGAAATTATTTAAATTTTAATTTTCCTATATTTCAGCCCAAAATACTCACGCCAGCATTGTTGCCGGGAGAAGAAATTGTTATGGAAGGATTACGGGTTTACCTGCTGCCTGATGGTAGAGATGAGGGTACCGGGGTCACTATGGGTGGCCCCTCCCTCCTGCCAGCGGAGGGAGCCGTATTTCTTACAACTTATAGAATTATATTCAAAGGATCACCTTGTGACCCTCTGGGTAATAAATTTTTATGCATTTAATGTTTCTTTTTTGCTTCCTAAGCAACTGCGCATGACCAGAAAGTCATATGAATGACTCTAACTAGCACAATAAATGGTGTTGGGACTTTAATTCTTAGTTATGCTTAAACTAATATATGATATATAATAATATAATTGTTATATGATTAAAAAAAGTTTAAAATTTGTATAAAAACAAAACCAACATGGTTTAAATGTTTATAAGATATTGTTTGGCAATATTGACCAGAGATTGATTAAATTACATTCTATAATAAGTTATGATTTATTCCTTGACTTAGTATAGTTCTTTTTAAAGTAGTTGTTTAATATACAATAATTTTGCCAACTTTAAAATCCTAAGTTTATTTGGGGAATCCGATAATTCCGACTAAAGGGGTAATTTAATGTTTAAATCAAATTTAAAAAAAAGCCTAGCCCACAAAAAACAAAATTACTTAATGATTTGAAGTTTACAATGTGACAGGTGACATAGATTTTTTCCAACTTACGGACGAAGGAAAGAAGTTAAACGTGAAATATTACAACATTTAAACCAGTGGTTACAGGAGGGACTTCAACTGCGCTCAAATATCTTCCAGGTATTTAAACATCTTCTCTTGTTGAAATACATGATGAAAAATTAACAAGTTCTTCATAATGTGTTCCATCATTATATCAGTAAGAGCTAGAAGTCAAAATAGAATGTATGATGTACTACTTTGTTTACATTTGCTACTCTTATGATAAACAATTCCACATTTAGCGCTACTTTCTTCTGATAACAAACATGTAACATTCTCTTAAAAATGATCACTATTTAAATGATATAAAACTTCTTTTTTCCCTTTCGAAAGAAGTATAAAAAACCTGTTTCTGAAGCATAATATACCTTAACCCATTACTTCATGAGCATAATGTGAAGAATGGCTGTTTTCATTGAAAAGTCTCCCGTTACAAGTTCAAATTGATATAAAACTATAAAAACTGCTTCAATAAAACTATAAAAACTGCTTCAATACTGATCAAACTTGGCACAAATGTTAACTAGACCATTGCCTTTGCAACAACATGTTCGGGTTTAAATTTCCTATTACCATGGCAATGGGGGGGACATCTCAAAATTGCCAAAAATCACTATTTTGCGTTGATTTTTTCCATCAAAATTGATTTCAAAGTCCAGCAACTTCTCAATGGATTGAGATAGAGTCAAATGCTTTTCAGCGTTGGTTACACGTTACTTTATGATCGGTCTGGGGTCATTTTTAGCCTCTCACAAGTCCAAAATTTTCTTGGCGATGAGGGGGAGTGCCGCCCCCCATTCAAACCCCCCAAACCATTTGAGATAACAGAAAGGGAGGGGGTGAAAAAGGCGTGTATATCGCGTAATGGGTTAAAACAGTTTATTACACATGTAGTTATATTCTAAAAACAGTGGTTAAAACTCAATTGTTTAATGTTTTAGCTGTTGAAGATAGCATTTGATGAGGAAGTGGTTGGAGATAATGTGGAGACGTTTAGAAAACTAGTCAATAAATTTCGCAATCCAGCAAGTGTCTTTCAAACGTTCGCATTTACTGGACACGCCATCTCCCAACCTACGACTCTGCATAAACAGAAAGAGAAAAATAAAACATTAAAGTAAGTTTTCAGATTTTATGATAAGCCTTTGATAAATATATTTATAAATTCTGAACTGAGACGATTTTTTTTACGGTTATGTTAAAGAAGTAAGAAATCTCTATGATGGTTTTATGGTTTTTGATGATTTTATGGTTTTTAATGATTTTATGGTTTGAACTTTAGTTGTTTTCAAATTGTTTTTTGATTGCACATACAATATAGGTGATTCAATACAGTATCTAGAATTAATGCCTGAAGCTTATAATCTTCAATATTGTTATGTTTTAGGCATTTTGCCAAAAAGACTTTGATGAAAACTGCCAAGAAAGCAGGAATAAAAACCAAACAAAGTTCAAGACAGAAAACCAAATATATTTTACCCACAACACCTATGAGGGGGCGGAGTTTAACACCAAGGTCATCTGACAGCGAATCAGAAGGAGGCCGACCTGGTAGTGAGGTCTTTGATGACTTGTCAAGTAAATATTTTACTTACATATACTCTTCATTTGTTAATAGTGCTATAAATGATTTGTCCCACCAGATGAACACTTACCATTCTAAGTTACGATTCTTACGATTCAGCCAAAATCATTTTTTCATATTTTGGGAAAATTTCAAATAGGTACTGACTGAAAAGAGAATAATGCAGATTTTGGTGTGTGCTGGTTAAATGATAAAGAATCCACTGCAGACAGCATGCTAAAATTTAAACAGATTTTATACTAACTGTTAGCAGCACAATTTTAGCTCTCTTATAAATAAGCAAATCGCTTTGTCTACTGATATACTATTACTGTTGTAATTTATGGGGGAACAATAGAATACAGGTTGCTAAGCACCATGCTTACATATCGTGTATATATTTTCATACACAAGTAATTAAGAAAATATTTTCCTTAACAGTAGTGGATGAGCACGAGTATGAATCCAATCTGACTGCTGATCCAAAGAATCTGGAGAAGTTATTAGAGCGTGCAGGGTACCAGGACTATGTGAGACAAGGTCTAGGTAGTCTGTCTATAGCCTCACAGAGAGATAGAGCAAACCAGGAACCATTCAGAATATCATCTGTTAATGCCAACTTCTCAGTATGCAGGAGGTAGGTGTAGAACTTTTGAAGTTAGGGGTTAGTTTATATAGAATTTTCTAAGTTAGATTTATGTTGGAAGCTGTAAGCTTATTGAAATACTCTAATATATATTCCTGGATCCAATCAGTACCAAGTGTAAAGTTTCTTGCTCTTGGAAATGTCATTTTGTCCCCAACAGGGTTTGAACCTACACGGTCAGCAATTCTTAAATTACAAATCCTAAATGTTAACTGCTCGACCACACTGTCGCTCTGAAAGTGATTTTGACTTGCTCAATAGTATTGAGGCTGGCATGTTTGCACTTTGATCTGTCTGATCAAGTTCTGTTCTCTGTTTGTTTCCTGGTTTTGAGAATTTAATGCTGAAAACCCTATCATTAACAATGGATTGTTCTAAATTCAAAGTAGGACAAGCCCATTATAGAAATTAAGCGGGTTTAGGTGGAAACTCGAGATAGGAATAAGCAACGAAGAAAAAAACTTGATGTATTTGTAATAAATGAAATAAGTATTAGTAAGGATTTTCTTGTATTATATTGTTACAGTTACCCACCATTATTTGTTGTGCCACAATCAGTTCCCGATGACAGTATACGAAGGTTTGCTCGCACTCACAGACAATGCAGGTAAGTTGTAACTTAATACAAAAATTACAGCATTTCAAAAGGGGTGCTAGTTAGATCTTTGGGTAAGGCCAGATTTCTCTGTTAAAATTGATCTTGGCATTGAGTCTTAAGATCATTTGTTTCTCTCTGCTGTTTCAGAAATCATGTGGGATTAGTAGTCAGTCACTTGCGGAGATATATTGATGACTACTAATTTATTATCCTGTAAACTGGTTATGTGAACTTAAGGCTGAAATGTGACCAAAAATTTGTTAAAGTGAGTGTAAAAACCAGACAAAGAAATAAACACTTGTTAATTGTAACTGTAGCCCCAGCCCTATGTTTATAGTAGGGACTTTAAGTTTTACATTATCAAAATACAATGCCTTGATAGTAAAATATATTTCCTACTATTTTGGCCCCTTAACAAAATTACTGTGCAGGGATAGATGGTGTTGTCACAAACAAAGACCCCAGGACTAGGTAATGTTTTTGGCTTTTATGGCATAAAAGCAAAACTACCACATTGACTTGAGCTGTAAATGATACAGGAATAGATGGTTTTGTTATAAACAATGTTGTTTTTATATTGTTACAGATTCCCTGTCATTACGTGGAGACACAGTAGGACGAAAGCATTGTTGTTACGAGCCAGTAGTTTCCATAGTAGAGGCTTGATGGGCATGTTAAAACACAATTCCTCCGGAAGTATGTACTCTCATTATAACTTAAAACTGTCTGAAATTCCTTATTTGACCTCATTTGATGGTTGTTATAATGATATTGTTAAGAAAAAATGAGTAATTTTTTAAGTCAAAATTAAGATAAAGTCATTGCCAATTTAAGACAAGAAAAAAAATGTTTTGAAAGAGCTGTTGCAAGATTTATTTAGAAAAAAAAAAAACATCAGCCCTGTTCAAATGAAAATCTTTTTACAGATTCATATGCAGTTAAGTATGATTTGTGACAAACTTTGTTAGCAGAATTAGGAATAAAATATATATCTGAAACTATTACAGGTACAACAAGTGGGGAGACTACCTCCAGTGTAGAACAGGAGAAATATTTCAAAGTTTTAGTAGCAGCAACGCCTAACAGTGCACGGACGGGATCATATAAGACTTCGTTCAGTGACTCGCTAGATAGCCTCGATAGTCTGATGATGTCCGGTGCCACTGGGGAATCTCTAGCTATACCAGAAACACCGGATCCTCTACGTAGAACCCACCATAGGTAACCAAGATAATTGTAATATTAATGTAAAGGCATTACTTAGAGAATAGATATCAATTTTGAGTGTACTGTAATAGAATAATGCATGGTATTAGTTCAAATGCGCAGGAATATAATCACAAAGGCCAATAGCCCTTATTGAATGATTACAAAGCATTTGAACGATAAACCAAGCATATTTGTACTATGATGAATGACAAATAAATATTAATTTCCATTCTTACGTGCTAATTAAAAAAGAAAATTGATAAAACTATGTTGAACTACAATAGCTTAGAAGTAATTTTCCTGATGTCATTTGATTTTTATTGACGTCATGTGACTTGTAAGCATTAGTTTTTTATGCTTTGCATATATTGTGTAATAATGCACTTGATTGCCCTATCTGTTTGATAAGGAAATAATGTGAAGAGTATTAGAATGTGTAGTTTATCATTTACTAGATCAAAATGTCCAAGTAACAGTTAACAAAATTGATACTTGAGTACTCGAAAGGAAAAAAGTATCATGTCATTTTTTGTGTAAATATGATAATAATGAAGTGAAAAAAAAAAAAATATTCCTAACTTGTTAAATTCAGTCAAGACATTTGTATGAGGTAGGAAAATGTTATTACAAATTAACAAATTGTTCAAGTCTTAAATGTGCCGATCAACTGTTTGACAGGACATGTGTGCATTTTTTTTTTTCAAAGTTCATGTACATATTTTAGGCACATAGAAATTATTCTATTATTTAAGCAAGAATGTCAGTGGTTCTACTCGCGTGCCTATTCATGCCTGAAATAATGCATGAAGTGTCACCTAAGGTCTTCCCCAACCAGTAAAGCTGGAAAGTTGCAATATGACCTATACTGTGTTTGGTGCCACTTAATAACCAAAAAATAATAATAATCTCATTTAGAAAATAGAAATACATTATGAAGCTTGGATGATATTTATGTTGTTTTTGCAGCAGTAACAAGAACAGAAGCAGTTTAAAACTAAAAGGTCAATGTAAGTATGATTTAGAAACATTTATATGAGTAATCTCCCCTTTTTATTATGATGAATATTTATATCCAAGTCTTATTTTTTAATTTCAACAACAGTCAAACTTGTGTTGAATGACAGTAAATGAATACAATTATATACATATACCCACATTTTGAAGCCAGTATTTTGGGTTGTTACAATGAGGGGGAGAATATTAGCCGTTGTATTATTTCAATCAACTGGCAGTTTTTTGGGTTTAAGTGTGATATGGTCTTTATAAAGAAGATGGTCTTTAAACACAGGTTTGGCTGTTATTCACAAGTTTCCTGTTATTACTGATTCACCAACTTGTTTGTTTAAAATAGAAGTCATTCACTTTGTTTTTAATGCAGTCTTAAAACGAAGTTCTTTGTATAAAAGTACTGTTGTTTTATTTTTTTCTTTGCTTTAAAAAACAGCTTCTGAATTTCCTTCAGTACTTTATTATCATGGATCTGAAGATGCAGTGCTTTAATTTAAATATGACATTGTATTACAATGTAGGCTTACTTTAAAAAATGACGATGAAGAAACTGTTAGCAAAGTGTATACAGTTCAATGAAAACTGACGTGTTTATTAATTTATTTAGTATTTTTTTGTGCCTTTGTGAAAGAAAGTGTTGAATTGTTACATTGTTTATACTAATGATGTAATACTGTTTTTATCTGTATTTTCATGCGATCAGATCAGTGCATTATGGTAGATATATGTTGTGTAGACGTCTGTAATTATAGTATTCTATGACCACTCTATCTCTCTGTTTTTATATATGTGAACCCCATTACATGCATGTATAACATGCACAATTCATGTATACATACAATATTAAAGATATGATATAATTAAGTATTACACTACAGTATTAATCATATGCATATAATTATTATTTTCATATTATTATATATTTGCAACATTTGTATAATATATAAACTGGATATATAAAATCCATAAAAATGGAATCATTAGTCTGTGACATTTGAAAATGGTGTAAACCTTGACGCATAATACCTTAGCTGATTTATATAAATAGTAGATGCACAAAGAGCCCCTCAGTAGATAGACAAAATCATCTCATTAAGATGGACAAAAGCCCTTCAACAATTGGACAAAATCCCCTCGATAAACTGCAAAGTGCCCAACAGTCCTTGAAAATGATTTTGATAAGTTTTTGTCCCAGAATCAGACTTGTATTTCAGAATTTTTAGTCCTGAGGTCCCAGACTTTATTATTGGACGGTTTTAAGGTCAAAGTAGGTCAACTTTATGCTGCTATCAGTTAGCATAGAATGTGTTAATGCATACATTCAATTATTAAGATACTGATATTAATTTTCAATTATAGAAAATAAAAGTAGCGAGCAAATAAAGCTACTTTCTGATCTTGTCTCCTATTATTTCTTTGCAACCTTATGCACTTTTTGATGACATGACCTATGACTGAAACTTTGACAATTTAACAAAAAAAAACGGCAAGATTTGATGGCTAGATAATGATAAAAGTTTTTAAAATTATGAGTATAATATAGGTTTAAACCTTTACATATACATTTAATTGACACCATTTATAACCCCTAAAAATAAGACATTATATGTATTCTTTCAAGTGTGATAGCCCTTTTTTTTCGAAAGAAGTTAGTTAATATATCCTTTTTCATTAGTTATTTATGACTTTTCTATCTTTGTTTTAAATAAGGTGGATGGATATTTCATCTCTTTAGATGTAAAAGTAGTGTACCCTTTCCATGATTTTTTTTTTCCTCATCATTTGATGCTGAAGGGTCAAGGGCATTCCAAAGAGCACCTTTCAATTTCATTTCTTGTATAGTTATGTATAATATACAATGACCAAGAAACAATAATATAAGATACATTTATGTTTTTCCATAAATTAGTCAGACACAGTGTTTTAATGATAACTGTCCTAATCAAACATTTTATAAATAGAATGAGAGATAACTTCTGTTAAAAAATAACTTGTAAACATATTCATTCCCATTTAAATGCACTTTACAGTTGGTGATAATTATTGCTTAGATTATTTTTTATCTAACTTTATTGTTTGTTGTTTATTTTGGTCTTTTTCTGAATTATTTTTTTACATACTCTCTTTATATTATGTGGTAAAAGTGTTGATGTTTTTTGTTTTTTTTTTCAAATTAATACTGAAAAATTTATGCATACTGATGCTAAATATAGATATTCTGTATCTGATACATGTTTTTATGTTGCTCCCTATGTACAGCTGACACTGGAGATTTCGTGGGTCTTCATTTGTCCGGAGATGCCACGCCCAACACTGTTCGTAGAAGTATGTTCTCCCGCGCAGTTGACACGTTACGCTCGAGCGGCGGGAAGGGAGGCAACCGTATGGATTGTTGTTGCTATTTATATATACATATACTTAGTCTAAGACCTTGTGCAAGTTCTACTCTGTAAAGCTGCCTGTTTTGCGATAAAAAAAAAGAATTATATTTGCCGTCTGCTGTCAAATCTTTCTGTTTTTGTTTTGGAACAAGGTGCTAAATGCTAGATTAGCTAAAATGTCTTAAAACGAACATTTCCTTTCGATAACTTGTACTCTTTGTTTCATCTTGAATTCATATTAAACCTTCATTTGTTTGAAATTGTTCTTTCTCGGTATCATGTAGAGGCTTTGATAAATCTGATAATATATTTAGCTGCATTAACTCTGCTACCATTCTTTCGAAACTTGCATTTTGCTTTCTCGAGGGAAAAAATCATTTTCTTAACTTTCATGCATTATATATATATATACATCTGTAGCAAAAAAAAACATATTCAAATTTTTATAAAAAATCAACAAAATACGGTAAAACTTGCTTAACGTCTTATGCTATTGATCAGCTTTAATTGAAATATTTATTCATGCTGTACAAATATGTAGATGTGAGGCTGGTTGTGACAAGATGGCTGCTTACCTGCACTTGAAAACACCCGCTATACTCCCCACCCACTGTACCACACCCACTTGCTTTTATTATCCCACAGATTTTATTATAGGAATCTATTTAATTTACTGATTTTATGCAAAAGCAAACTTATTTTTTGACATTGTTTCTTTTTATTTTCAGTCATGCCTTTTTTTTTTAAAATAAATTTACCAGCAAAATTATGCTATTTAAATTATTTATGTAGATATATTTGCAGGCCTTTATAGAATAGAGATAAATATTTTATTTATTATTTATTTTTGTTGATATTTTTCAGCTTTAATGGTAGCATTACATTAAGAGATACAAATCGTCAAATCAATTACAATAACACATTTTTCCAGGAAATATCTTGAAAATTCATCAAAAGTCTCAGGAAAAATTATTTTATTAATGTTATACTAGGTACTTATTTCAGAAGGAGTAGTCTATTGAAATACACATTATAAATGTCTTTTAGTATTACAGAATTTTAAAACTGACCATTCTTGGTATCTGTTTAGTGTAGAGTAAATATTTTATGTCCATCAACATTCTATGTTGTATATTACAAAAAAACAACAACAAAAAGAATGCGCTAAAGCAACTCTTTAAGTGTTTGTAATTTGGTCTTATTTTAATGTTATGATTACTTTGAAGTTTTCATTGTCAAAGAAAAGAAACAAAACAACACCACACATTTCATTATATATTTTACCACAAATTTAGCATAAAGATTTGTTATTGTACAAAAAAAAATCATTAATTTTCTTCCAAGAAAATTGCCTGCATTGTTGAGTTATGCTTGCGTTAGAAATTTTGTTTAGACATAAAATTAGACATAGAACTGCCTGCGTTATAATTTTCTTGACATAAAACTGCTTGCATTGCCATGACTTACTTGTCGCACATTTCATTTACATTGCATTTTTTGAAAAGATCGCAACGTTTTAATTGTTTATACTTTATTTGAGATGACATCTAGAAAAGAGACAAGCTTTTCTTTGAAATGATTCCACATTCTATTGTTTTCTTTTTTTCTCACAGAGGCTTGCGAACATTTTTTTTCAATAATAGCATATTTTTTAGTAAAATGATAATAATCTTATATTAACTTTACAATTTTTATTATTTTCAATATTTTATTCATTCTATATAAACAATGGAACAATGACTTAAATTAAATAATAATACAAGTAGAGAAATGCTGATTTAGCCTACATAGTTTACTTTTGCTTGGCTCAATATTGTTACATTAATATATTTAATTGAAAAAAAAATTAAAATAAAATTGATTGAAATTAAAAACAAAAAATTGAAAAAAAATTCTTTCTGTGAGTAGAAATCATTATTATCATTGTTATCATTATTATGTAAAAACAAGGTCTCATCCAAGATTCTTTTATGTTCTTTACATTTTTTTTCCTAGAAAGATTAATTTTAGATTTTGAATATTGAAAATTTGTCTAAGGTAAAATGAAGGATAAGAAGAAACAACTTGTTTTACAATTATGAGAACTGCAGTGGCTGTGTTTTGAAATTGATATAAAAAAATTATTGTACTTAAGAATAGTGGAATTTTTTTGAAGAAGTTAATAAATAATTCTAAGTAAATCTAAAAACACAGGCGAGCAATTCAGTCCCCTTTGGTACATCTTGTAGCTATCACAATTTAGAATCACAATTAACTTTTACCCTACTGGCAGCAACTGAATTTACTTATGTGACCAGTGAAGAACAAGATCTGTGCCATCTGATCGTGGTCTGCACTGTTTGCTATTCATTCATAAATTGTTTTGAAATTTTCCTCAAAAAACGATGAATGGTTTTGTCCAGATTGAAAGTGGGGACAAGTCCACATAGAATAAATAGGGGTGTAAGGGTTAAGATATTATCATGTATATAACTATCATGCTTTATTCATAGATGCATAGTTTATACTAAGACGTGTATTACATTTTGCAGTTGGGAAGCGGCGGCTGGCAGCTAGCTTAGATGGTACTATAACACGAACATTATTTTGTCGTTCATCTTACACATACTGTCGCATATATATGCATAAAATAACATGGCTACATAGAGATGTGTATCTTCTAATGAAATCATCGAAACCGTTTATTGTTTTTGTATGCAAACTATATTTCAAATAGGAAATCTTGATTAGTTTCTGTGGCCGAGGGGCAAAGGTCACATGATTTAAAATCAATAGCTCTTACATGGGTGTTAGAGATAAAATTTTCACAAGAAACCTCGGGAGTCTTCCATACAAGTAAGTTTTCTAGTTACCTTATGTAAGATCAATGGTCCTGTTTAAGCGCGAAGTTTGTGCCTCAAATAATGCATCGAGGGAACCCCGAATTCTCAATACGCTAGTAATGCTGGCATTATGCCAGGTGACCTTTTACATGTATATGGTTGTCAAATGAGACTTAATCTCCAACAAGAAAAGGTGAAATATCATCTTCACAATATCTTCATCTTCATGTATTTTATATTAGAAGGTATACATCTCTTTCTTTGAAAGCTTTGAACACCTAACACAGAATTGCTTTATGTTACAATCATGTATAATAAAACAATGTTCTGTCAGCATATACATGTATGTTCTCACTAGATAAACACTTTCATGTATTGACAACTTTCATATACAAATTTCATTACTCTTCTCATAATAGAAATGTACTGCTCATACTTTTTGTACAGCTTTATATTCATCATCACATGCAAAAAAAATCCTTTGAACATGAACAATTTTTGTGCCCCCACGATAGTGGCGGGCATTTAGATTTACCCTTGTCCGTCTGTCCGTCCGTCCGTCTGTCCGTCCGTCTTCACGCTCTGATACTTATGTGGCTATAATTAAGCTTGTATGACATTAATGTGGCTAAAATCTTTTAAGTGGCTAACCCCATAAAAGATTTCTATAGACATCATTTTTCTAACTTTAAGTGGCTTGATATCAACATTTTATTCTTCTAGCCACTCAAAAATTGGGTATGTTAAATTTCCATGCTATGGACGTCCAATATCAGTCCATAGCGTGGTATGTAGCATTAGCCTCCCTTAGATAATTTTCGCCGATTTCGGTAATTTCGCGTCTTTCCGGTAATCATCGTGTATTTTTTTGGTGCGCATGCGCAGTAAAAAAGCACATTTCTCGCCGAAATGGGAAGGAAACGTAAATTGGTGGACAAAAAGTAATTCACATAATGTGAGAGTGGATATCTATATTTTTGGTTTTACAATCACTTAATATTTTTGCTTCCAAAAGTACTTGAAATTGTGTAATGCAGTATAGATAGATACAGTCATAGTGAATTGTCACATATTTTTCGCGTGGACGAATTTTGCGCGGAAACATTGCCTTCCATGTTTGCATTTTTTGTCCCACCAGTATTCATATCGGACATTAAGCATGTACATAGATTTGATAACGGATTTTCTTATTTTGCTAAACGATAACTGGGGTGTTTTTACGTTAGTAAATCTGATGATGGAAGACTCTCATGATTTTTTTCAGATGTTTTGGGATCGTTGTCGTAGGTGTTAAATATTATGGACAGCAGTAAAAATTTCATAAATATTTTAGAGACGAGAATACTGTTTGAGATTTCAACATAATAATACTTGACATGGACCTGCTGTAATTTTTTGATAATCTAGATTTAGAAAATATTTTTTCAAGTGAATTTAGGTTATAAATTTCAGACATGGGATGTGAAATTGTGCAGTTCTGAATCAAATCATCAAAAAAGGTTGTGCCATTCATTGATGTTGCGAAAAGTATTCAGACAAACAAAGGACAAAAGAAAAAACTTTTTGATCTCGAAAGACCAAATATAATTTTCAAACAGTCACAAAAAAAAAATGAAATAATTTAGGAAGTTCGAGACCATCATCGGAAAGCATTAAAAAAAG